TGGTGTTACCAGGGACTGAACTCAGGACCTTTCACTTTCAAGGCAGGCACGGTGCCACTGATAATCCCCAGCCCCTGCTGGAACCTTTAATGGGGGATCTTGAGGTCCCTGGAGTGCACCCTCAGGCAGCCAGGGAACCCTAGACTCTGCATCTTTGCTGGCCGTGAGGTCAAAAGCTTTGCTCTGCTGTGCATTCTCCCAAGGAGGCGCCACCACAGGGATAAAGCAACAGGGCCAACCAATCACGCACCCGAAATCTCTAAAACTCTGAACCGAAGCAAACCTTTTCTCTTGATGCTGGTGATCTCAAGTATTTGTTCTAGTATCAGAAAGCCAACACAGTACGAACTGAAAAGTAACTGTGCCTTCCACGCATGGCCACATGGATGGGATGGGCTTTGTAGAGGTGGCCGTTGTGTGCTGCTTCTCTTCCCCATTTTCTAGAAGTCTTCCCCTCTACCTCGTAGGTGAGGACCCTCGGGCGCGGCTACATTCACGGTTAGTCCGTCAGCCGCAGTATCACGCACAGCTGCTTTCCGTGTGGAGAAGCTCCCCCACCAAGGACTCTGAACTGAGCCGAATGGATGTGACTTCAAGTTGCTTCCAAGGGGTAAGAGTGCAAGTTCTGAGTTGCACATGGAAAACTGTGCTGTTTGCTGGGCCCGTCTTGGAAGTCCGCGTATGGGGGAAGGAACACAGGCTGGGGAGCAGCCGAGGGGTGGTAAACTTACCGTGCTCACGAGAAACACTCTTCCTACTCCTGGTGACAAACTCTCCCTTCTTCCTCGACTCACAGTGAGTCTCAGTCCATCCCTGCTATTATAACAAAATAGTCCGGATGGAGTGACTTGCAAACAACAAAAAAATACTAGTCCCAGTTCCAGAGTCAGGGAAGTCTGCGAGCCGGGCAGCAGCAGAGTCCAAGATGGCAGCGCCTACCTCCTGTGCCCAAAGGGACAGAGCAGCTCCCTCCAGCCTCCGTTATTGGGACTGCAACCCTGCTCACAACGGCAGTCAGCACGACTCAGTCACTTCCCCAAAGCCCCACCTACACGTTGGGCAATAGGTTTCACCATGACAGCTCTGGGGATAGCAACACTCAGGGCACAGAGGGCCACCCCGCAAAGACTCTTGGCCCTGCCTGGCCGGCCGGGGACCTTTCCTAGCATCTGCTATGGAGATGGAGGAGGAGAAGCCCTTTCCTTGCTGTCTCTCATGGGATTTTAAGAAAGCAACCCTAGAGCCTGTAGAATCTACTGGGCCCTGACATGGAAGAGGAAAAAATAAAGCCAACTAACTCTACACAAGGGAGCAGAATCATAGCTGACTCAAGCCTTTAGTTCCTGTCAGTGTCATTTGGTCACAAGCAACAGAAAGTGACTCAGACTGACTTAAACACAAGCAAAGTCTACTGAAGGGACACGGGTAGCTCACAATGCATTATTTTGTTTTTGCAGACCGAGGATTGAATCCAGGGACTTTGAACAGAGATAGATCCCCAGCCCTTTTTAAATGTTTTATCTTGAGACAGGGTCACGCTAAGTCACTAAATCCCTCAGGCTGGACTCAAACTCTCCATCCTCCTGCCTCAGCCCCCTAGAGTGCTGGGATTACAGGGTGCACCACCACCGCACCTAGTTTGGCTGCAGATTTTGACGCACAGCAAGATCAAGATCAAAATCAAACTTTATAAGGAAGCCCGCGAGGATTCCACCCCTGAACACCAGAGGGCGCTATGACTGCTCCACTCTGACCTCTCTGCTGCTCCGGGAGACCCGACATTTCAGCTCAGCTTTTAGAGCGGGAATGAGTCTGATTGGCTGAGGCCCGGGTTCACTCACTCACTCACTCACTCACTCACTCACTCACACACACACACACACACACACACGCACACGCACGCGCACGCACACGCGCGCACACACACACACACACACACACACACACCCCGTTAACTGATTAAATCCCGTCATTTCTTCGCCCTCTCTACTATCTGACTTTTGTAATTAAATTCAAGACATTTCAGAATTTTTCTTTTACCAAAAGCAAGTGGTGGTGGTGCACACCTGTATTCCCAGCCACCTGGGAGGCTGAGGCAGGACGAGTTATGTTTGATCCCAGCCCAATTTAGTGATTCAGAAAAATCTTGTCTCAAAATTGAAAAATAGAATAAAATAAACTGTAGCTCAGTGCCAAGGCCCTAGGTTCAATCCCCAGTTATCCCAATACAAAAATAAGAGAACTGGGAGATTTAGTATGTTACCATAGCAGCCCCCAACCTGCTCAGGTAAGCAGCCCCTGCTCCATCTCCCCTGTGTGGAAGGTGATGGCGATGTCCGGGGCTCCTGGAGTTCACCCCTCCACCCTTCCTACGGTTGTCTTACAGTCACCATCCCCAATTCACTCCCGCTGCCCGCCAGAACCTTCCAGTTCCTCAGCACACAGGCAGCCTGGCCTCCAGCCCTCACATCTTGCGCCCATTCCTCTGGGGCGGCGGCGGGGAGCTGGGGGCAAAGGGCTGAGATGCCAGGTGAGGAGAGGAGCAGCCGCTAACCGTTGGCCGCTGAGGGCACCAGCATGGTGACGAGCTGGGCTGAGAAGGGCAGCGTGGGAGGACTGGGAAGACTGGCTCCTCGGCAGCCAGGTCTTCTGACTGCCGGAAAGCAGGGCCGGTCCCTCTGGTGTCCCCAGCACAAGGCAGACCCCGTGAGAACTCCGCAGGGTGACCGACCTCTGTCGGTGTCTCCACACGCTCCTCCGCCCACCCCAGACCGCACCGGCGGGCGACCCCACAGAGCCTGGGAGCCCCGCAGTTCCGTCCTCCCACTGACTGCTCCGGTGCCTGCTCACCACAACTCACGGCGGCCTCTGCTTTCAGCTCGCTGCTGCTGCCTGTCCTTGGCTTTGCTTGTTCCTTCTATTTACTGATTTTTCTCTCAGCTGAGCGTGGTGGCGCACGCCTGTAATCCCAGCCACCTGGGAGGCCGAGGCAGGAGGAGACCCTGAAATCAGGAAAAGCCTGGGCTGCCTAGTGAGTCCGAGGGTGGGCTGAGCTCTATAGTGAGACCCTGCTCCGAAAAATAGAAACAAAACACACATGTGTGTGCACACACAAAGATGGAAAGAAAGAAAGAAGGAAGGAAGGGAGGCGGGGAAGGAAGGAAAATACAGGGTTTCACTCTCCTGGCCAGGCTGGCCTCCGACTCCTGAGCTCAAGTGACCTTCCTGCCTCAGCCTCCAGTATAGTTAGTATTACCTGTGTACACCGCTGCACCTATACAGTTCCTTCTATTTTCGATGTTCAAACTTTAGAGTGCTCCAGGGCCTCGCCCTCTGATTCTCTATGGTAACCAAGCAAGCGGTCACTTCCGTGAACTTAAATACCCATCTCCCAAATCCATACACCTGGCTCTACTTCTCCCTACAGACACGAAAATCCAATGCCTATTTGATATTCCGATAACTAAGGATTCATAGACCTTTCCAAATTTACTGTGTCCAAAAATTAGCACAGAGTTTCATAACTGCCACCACGTCTTCTCTCATAACATTTTCTGGATTTTTGTTTGCTTTTTAAAACAGGGTCTCACTATGTAGTCCAGGCTGGCTTTGGTCTTGCAATCCTCCTGCCTCAGCCTCCCCAAAGGGCTGGTTTACAGGCATGTACCATCATGCCCAGCTACATTTCATAAATGGCAAGTCTGTTCTTTCAGGTGCTGGGCTCATGCCCGGATTCTCTCTTTTTCTTTCATCCCCTATATATTAGCCAGTTTCACACTACTGTTACAAAATACCCATGCTAGTGACTTTGAAGGGAAATAGGTTTAGTTAGCTCATGGTTCTGGAGGCTCAAGGGCATGATGCCAACATCAACTTGGCTCTGAGGAGGGCCCCACAATGGGTGGCATCAGTGGCAGGGGTGTGGATGAGGAGAGACTATAGCACAAGACAGGAAACCAGAAGAGGTGGGTAAAACTGGCTCTCTGAGAACTAACTCAGGGTGTCCAACTGCCTCCCCCTGGGCTCCACTTTTTTTTTTTTTCCTATTGTGGTACTAGAGATTGAACCCAGGGCTTTTGCACTGAGCTACATTCCCATCCCCTTTTTCACATTTTGAAATAGGGCCTCACTAAGACCCTAAATTCCCAGGTTGAGCTTGAATTGGGATTCTCCTGCCTCAGCCCCCCAGAGTGCCTGGATTACACTGTGCCCAGTTTAAGCTCCACCCCTTAACGGTCCCACAACTTTTCACGCTGCCAAGCTACGGAGCAAGCCTGCGACACACGGACCCTTGAGGAACATATTCAAACCGTGTCCAATGTCACGTCGGTGTACACCTGTCCCTCAGGGTGACACCGCTGCAGTGGACGGGAGCGCGGCACTCTGTGTGGCGGTACTGACGGTGGGTGTGTAGGGCGACAGGGGCACAGGGCCCAGCAGAGTGAGTGCGCCCCCTTCGTGACTGTGAGTGAGACTGAAATGAGAGCCTAGGTCCGGGGCCCTTTTGGTGTGGAGTCCGATTGTTACCCCACTGGCTTTAGGATGCCAGTGAGTTCTTAGAAGAGCGGAAATAATGTGATTGTGTGATTCTAATCGAGACAAGTCCTTCCGGGAGCTCGTGAAGGTAACCAGAGGTCACCCCTTGGGAGCAAGGAGGGAGGCCGAGAGCCGAAGCCCCACGCTGCCTTTGGGAGAGCGGAGAAGCGGAGCAGGGCCCCAGCTCATTTCCCTCCTGGGCTTCGGGTTCGTGGGAACAGCACAACCCCGCCAGGGCTGGGCACCGGGAGCCTGGCGGTGACAGATAAGCTTCTACTCTGCCCGCACAGCGCTGCCTCTGGGGCTGGGCCAGGCTGTGCTCAGCTGCAGCCCAGGGGCCTCTCACCCGAGCCCGGGTCCTCTCCAAGCTCCCGAGGTGGTCGGCAGAGCCTGTGTCCTTGGTGCTGTAGAACGGGTGGCCTTGTGCCCTCGAGGCCAGTGAGAGCATGTCTTCCTCCTCCGCCTTGGACCTCAGGGTCTGCTTTCAATGGCTTCCCCGAGTAGGGGCAGCCCACCCAGGACAAGCGCCCTCACTACTAGCTTTCAGCCAATTGATTGGTGACCTTAATTACACCTCAGCCAGGCGTGTGTGCAGCACTGTGGGAGGCTGAGGCAAGAGGATTGCAAATTCAAGCCCAGCTCTGCCACACACACAAAAATCCCTTCATCCCTGTCACGCAGGAAGTACATCCTACCACCTTTGCTCTGGGTAGGCCTCCTACTGGTTACGAGCAAATTAAAGTCCCCCCACATTCATGGGAAGGGTTACATAAGCACGTGGGCCATTGGGTTCATCTCAGAACTACACCTGCCACAGCAGCCAGGGACTTCTGCAGAGAGCAGCCCTTCCCTCCGTGGAGACTGGAGTAAGTGGTAAATTTGTTTTAACTTTTAAATTGTTTTATCGGTACATTTTCACACAATGATTACGTCCATTGCAGGGAATTCATACTTGTGTGTAACAGATGTTAATTCTTTTTACTTTTGCTTCCCCTCCCCTCCCTCGAGTGGGGGATAACTTTTGGAGACCAAACTCTCAAAATGTTTCTCAGTGGGTGTGGTGGTGCACGCCTGTCATCCCAGCCCTTGGGAGGCTGAGGCGGGAGGATCTCTGTGAGTTCTAGGCCAGCATGAGCTACATAGTGAGTTCTGGGTCAGTCTCACTACATAGTGAGACCCTGTCTCAAAAGAAACAAAGTTTCACACATGCTTCTCACTGCCGTGAACTGGAGTGCTCAGAAGTGGCCCCACATTGAAGAAAGGGCTTTGACTAGTACGGTCCTCACATCCAATGACAAGTATCTTTGTGAGAGCCAGGGGAAGACACGCAGAGCCTGGAGTCGTGTCTGTGAGCCAAAACCCCAGGAAGGAGGAGGCACAGGGCTCTTCCCGCAGCTTCTCCAGAAGGAAGCAGCCCGGCCCGCACCTTAATTCCAGACTTTCTGCCCCAGACTGAAATCACCTGTGTTGTTCGAACCCATCAAGTCACAGTTGCTCCTATCGGCAGCCTTGAGGGACGCACTCACGCCCTGGGCTCAGTGTCCAGGAAACAGACTTGGGCCTCAGATGTGACAGCTCTCAGACTCTACAGACCCATCAGTTCCTGTGGTTGCAAGGCCCTAAGAGGCCCTGGACCAGGGCAGTTCTACGGCCAGGTTAGCACAAACTACATCAATCACACAACCCGGGGGTGTCCATGCAGCTCAGTGAAGCTCTGCAGGAGGGAGAGCCTCCTTTACCTCCCCTTCACGGATGGATTTGTTGGGCACAGCTACTGTAAATAAGTAAAGGTGAAGTAACTGTCATAGACTGTGTGACCTTGGCTTGCATAGGATGGAAGGTAAAGGGTCCAGGACTGGAGCGGCGGCACCACACTAATAGAAGCCCAGGCTCTATCCATCTGGCTCTTCTGTCATCTGACCCAAGGTGGCTGCCTCTGTTGTCACCATCACATCTGCATTCCAGCCAGTGGGAAAGCAAGAAAGGGACAGGGAAGATATAACTTTATGGCAGATCTGCAGGTGGCAGGCTTCTGGCTAAACTTGGTCACCTGTCTGCAAGTGAAACGGTACAAAATATTTTTAGCTCATAGATCCCATTTCCAGCTGAATCTTAGGGTTTCCATTTTGAAAATACGAAGGGAAGAATGAGAACTCACAGCAACTTCTGCCCACAGAGGATAACAAACACAAGGTCTGGATTTATCAGTGGCCTCTCAGACTTGGGCCTTGGAGGTGGGGAAAAGGCCCAGAAATGGAAATGTAGGGATGCACGGCACCACCACCACCCTCCCGGCTGGTGACAGGAGAACAGAATCTCAAAATGTGGGTTTGGGGGCGGCAGGAAGAAGAGGAGTATGGAGAGGCCATAAGGACTGTGCCCCTCCCCACCACACCTTCTGTCAGCAGTTGAGCCGCGTCTCCTGTAAGAGGCACTGAAGTTAATTCTGAAATTTGTCAATGTGCCCTTATTTGGAAACAGGGCCTTTGCAGATGCTCTCAAGTTAAAATGAGGTCATACTGAGTCCGGCTGGGCCCTAACCCAACAACTGAGGTTCTCTGAAGAAAAGAGAATCCAGACATCAACAGACAGGAGAAGATGACCATGTGATAGAGAGGCAGAAGCTGGAGCAACGCATCTACAAGCAGACAGCCCCAAGGATGTCTTGGGAGCTCCAGAAACTAGGGAGCAGAGAAGGAGCCCGCCTGCAGCCCTCAGGGACAGTGTGGCCCTGCCAGCACTTTGGTTTGGACTTGCCTCCAGACCTGGAGAGAATGAATATCAATTGTTTTAAGCTACCTCGTGTGTGTAACCAGCAGCAACATCCCCAGCACAGGTATATACCACCTCTCCCTCTCCTTATCCCTTAGCACCCAGGCTCTCGAGCTCTACTCTAACAGATGTAGGGTCCCAACATCTGCTGTAAACTCTTAGATTTCCCTCACCTTAAAATGGCCACTACATAAAAAGAACAGCCTTCTTCCCATAATGCCCTGCTTCTCACCTAAAAATATGGCTTCTCCCACTGAAAGACAGCCTTCCTCTTCCCATCATGCCTATTCCCGCCAGGAGAGAAGCCCCTCCTAGTGATGTCACAAGCTCCCCCAATCCCTAGCCACTACAACACTCAATCCCACCCCAGCTCTTACAAGCTCCATCCCAGTCCTGTAAGAAATGCTTCCT